CTCGATCTCCTGACCTCGTGATCCGCCCGTCTCAGCCTCCCACAGTGCTGGGATTACAGGCTTGAGCCACCGCGCCCGGCCTCTGATTCTTATTTTTATTTCCTTCTTCCTATTTTGAATTTAATTTGCTTAGATAACTGACTTTAGTTAGTTAGTTAGTTAGTTATTTACTGAGACAGAGTCTTGCTCTGTCTCCTAGGCTGGAGTGCAGTGGTGCAATCTCAGCTCACTGCAACCTCCGCTTCCTGGATTCAAGCGATTCTTCTGCCTCAGCCTCCCTAGTAGCTGGGACTACAGGCGCCCGCCACCACGCCCAGCTAACTTTTTGTATTTTTAGTAGAGACAGGGTTTCACCGTGTTAACCGGAATGGTCTCAATCTCCTGACCTCGTGATCTGCCCACCTCGGCCTCCCAAAGTGCTGGGATTACAGGCGTGAGCCACCTCTCCTGGCCAACTGACTTTATTTTTATTTTTGAGACAGAGTCTTACTCCGTCCGTGAGGCTGGAGTGCAGTAGTGTGATCTTGGCTCACTGCCACCTCTGGCTCCCGAATTCAAGTGATTCTCCTGCCTCAGCCTCCCTAGTAGCTGGGTTTACAGGCATGTGCCACCACAGTGACCCAGCTAATTTTTGTATTTTTAGTAGATACGGGGTTTCGCCATGTTGGCCAGGCTGGTCTTGAACTCCTGGCCTCAGGTGATTTGCCCCCCGCTTGGCCTCCCAAAGTGTCGGAATTATAGGTGTGAGCCACTATGCCCTTTTTCCTCTTCTAATATAAAAATCCTGGGCTGGGTGTGGTGACTCATGCCTTTGCGCGTGGTGGCTCTTGCAGTTTGGGAGGCAAAGAGGGGCGGATCGCCTGAGGGTCAGGAGTTCTAGACCAGCCTGGCCAACATGGCAAAATCTCATCTCTACTAAAAATACAAATATTAGTCGGGCATGGTGGCATGCACCTATAATTCCAGCTACTTGGGAGGCTGAGGCAGGAGAATTGCTTGGACCTGGGCGGCAGAGGTCACAGTGAGCCAAGATTACGCCACTGCACTGCAGCCTGGGCAACAGAAGAAGACTCCATCTCTAAATAAATAAATAAAATAAAAATCCAAAGCTGTAAAATTCTCTTTCACCATTACTTGAATTTTATTCTACATATTTTGATATTTCGTATTTTTTTCCAATCCTGCTCCTTCTATAATATTTTATATTTTTTATTTTCTTTCAGTTGAATGTATTTTCTAATTTCTTTTTTAACTCTTACCGACAGTATATTGCACATCTCCAACTTGAGTTTGATAATTTTTTTTTTCAGTACTTTGAAGATTTAATTTATCTTTTTCTCTCATTTCTGTTGACAAATTGTCTGTTAGATTTATTGGTTACATATTATATTCCACTAAAGGAAATGTTTCATTCCTCTGTGTGTTTTTAAGATATTCTCACTTGCTTTGATTCTTTGCAGTTTTACTGTGCTATATTCAGGTGCAGTTTTCTTTATTTATCCTGCTTGAGGTTCACAGAGTTTCTTGAATCTATGGGTTTGTCTTTCATCTGTTTTGAAATATGGTTATTATGTCTCTGAATACTGTCTCCCTTCTATTCTTTCTCTCCTCCACTTCTAGGACTCAGTTACATGTTTGTAGACCGTTTCACAGTGCTATATGTGTCTGTTATATTCTTTTCTGTATTTTTCATCATTTTTTCCTCTCTAGGTTTTAGTTAGGCTGTTTTCTGTTGACTTCTTTTTCATTTCACTAACCTTGTCTTCTGACATGTTTAATCTGCTATTTAACCTTATATTAAGTTTCATATTTCACATATTGTCTTAGTTCTGGATTTTTCCATTTGATTGTTGCTTTATAGATTAATTTTTTTTTCCATAGCCTGGGCTGCGTGATGAAACCCCATTTCTACAAAAAATACAAATATCAGGCCAGGCAGTGGCTCATGCCTGTAATCCCATTACTTTAGGAGACGAGGCGGGTGGATCACTTGAGGTTAGGAGTTCGAGACCAGCGTGACCAACATGGTAAAACCCCGTCTCTACTAAAAATACAAAAATTAGCCAGGCTAATTAATGAGTGGTGGCTCATGCTTGTGATCCCAGCTAGTTGGGAGACTGAGGCAGGAGGATCGCTTGAACCCTGGAGGCAGAGATTGCAGTGAGACAAATTCATGCCACTGTGCTCCAGCCTGGGTGACAGAGTAAGAGTCTATCTCAAAAAGAAAAACCTAAAAAATAAACCTTAGTTGGGTGTCGGGCGTGTGCCTCTAGTCCCAACTCTGGGAGACTGAGATGGAAGAATCACTTGGGCCTAGGAGGTCAAGGCTGCAGTGAGCCATGATTGTGCCACACACTTCAGTCTGGGTGACAGAAACAGACCCTGTCTTTTTTTTTTTTTTTTCCGAGATAGAGTCTTGCTCTGCCGCCCAGGCTGGAGTGCAGTGGCCGGATCTCAGCTCACTGCAAGCTCCACCTGCCGGGTTTACGCCATTCTCCTGCCTCAGCCTCCCAAGTAGCTGGGACTACAGGCGCCCGCCTTGTCACCCGGCTAGTTTTTTGTATTTTTTAGTAGAGATGGGGTTTCACTGTATTAGCCAGGATGGTCTCGATCTCCTGACCTCGTGATCTGCCCGTCTCGGCCTCCCAAAGTGCTGAGATTACAGGTTTGAGCCACCACGCCCGGCCAACCGTGTCTTAAAATTTTTTTTTTTCTTTTTAGAGACAGTATCTGGCTCTGTCATGCAGGTGGGAGTACAGTGGCACCGTCAGGGCTCACTGTAGCCTTGAACTCCCAGGCTGAAGTGATCTTTCTGCCTCAGCCTTCCAAAAATGTTTGTTTTATAGAGATGGTGTGTGGCTGTGTTGCTAAGACTGGTCTCAAACTGGTCTCAAGCAATCCTCCTGCCCTGGCCTCTCAAATGTTGGGATTATAGGCTTGAACCACTGCACCTGGCCCTTTTTTATTTTTTAGTAGATTTTAATTCTCTGGCAGAATTCCCTATTTCTTCATTTCTGTTCTACCATGTCTATTTTGTTGATCACACTTAGTATGTTATTTTAAAGTCCTTTCCTGCTAACTACACTCTCTAGTTATACTAACTATAACTGTGTTGGTCTGTTCTATTGTTTGTTTCTCACTTTTAAAATTATCATATTAATATATATAGTTATTATATATCTGATAATTTGCTTGCATACTACTTATAATTAAATCCCCCAGCATTATCTTTCTTTCTTTTCTTTTTTTGAGACAGGTTCTTGCTCTGTCGCCCAGGCTGGGATGCAGTGGCATGATCTTGGCTCACTGCAACTTCTGTCTCCCTGGTTCAATTGATTCTCCCACCACAACCACACCAGTAGCCAGGACTACAGGTGCACCCTACACACCCAGCTAATTTTTGTATTTGTTGGTAGAGATGGGGTTTCTCCTTGTTAGCCAGGCTGGTCTCGATATTCCTGACCTCAGGTGATTCACCCACCTCGATCTCCCAAAGTGCTGGGATTACAGGCCCTAGCCAGCACGCCTGGCCTGTTTTTACATTTCATTTATTGTATTTCTTATTTTTAAAAGTATAGGCTGGGTGTGGTGGGTCACGCCTGTAATCCCAGCACTTTGGGAGGCTGAGGTGGGTGGATCACGAGGTCAGGAGTTCAAGACCAGCCTGACCAATATGGCAAAACCCCATCTCTACTGAAAATACAAAATTTAGCCGGGCATGGTGGCGCACGCCTGTAGTCCCAGCTACTAGGGAGACTGAGACAGAAGAATCGCTTGAACCCAGGAGGCAGAGGTTGCAGTGAGCCAAGATTGCACCACTGCACTCCAGCCTGGGCAACAGAGTGAGACTCCATCTCGAATGAATGTATTAGGTTATTTTCTATATATTCCTTTGATTGGCTTAATCATTATTTTAATTACATCTTCTATTTAAGCATATGAAACAAACTTTTTTTTTAAGAGACAGGGGGTCGGGGGTGCATATCTCATTGTGTTGCCCCTTCTTTAATCCCTGCCTCTTGGCTGGTCTCGAACTCCTGGCCTCAAATGATCCTCCCACCTCAGCCTTCCAAAGTACTGGGATTACAGGTGTGAGCTGCCACACCTAGACTTTTGCATGTTATGTATGATGTTTGTATCATCCTGTTTCTGTTTACTGAATCAGGGGTGCCTTTTTTCTTCATGCGTTTTACAATTTTTGTTTGTGAGTCTTCTTTGATGTAATTCTATCAGCTAGAATTCTTTAAGACCTGAATTGAGGATGCCTTCTTCCAATGAAGATATGCATTGCTTTTTCTCTCAAAACTTGGGGGCATTATCAGTTTTTGTTCTCTTTAAGTAAAAAACCTTATAGATTTTTCAGCCATGCAAATAATGTTAATTCAGATTCCCAGGCCGCATGAGAATCAGCATATGGCCATGAATTATTGGGGGAGACTTTTATTGATCTCTTCTCAGAACAAAAGCTAAGGTAGAGTTTCCTTCATGTTTATGTCTCTGGAGCAGATTTGTTTCTAGTGTTCTCTGAGGCCATATCTTTTTGTGCATCCAGTTTTATTTGGGCATAGGTGTATGTGTGGGAGGGGCCATCTTCCAACCAGCCAACCAGTTCTTAGCCAGATGCTACCCTTACTGTAGGAAAACAAGATATTAGTACCCACTTATCTCCTTAAACTTCTTCCCCTTCTTTAATCCCTGCCTCTTGGCTGGGTGCGGTGGCTCATGCCTGTAATCCCAGCACTTTGGGAAGCTGAGGCGGGTGGGTCATCTGAGGTCAGGAGTTCGAGACCAGCCTGACCAACATGGTGAAACGCCATCTCTACTAAAAATACAAAATTAGCCGGGCGTAGTGGCATATGCCTGTAATCCCAGCTACTCAGGAGGCTGAGACAGAAGAATCACTAGAACCTGGGAGGCGGAGGTTGCAGTGAGCCGAGGTTATGCCATTGCACTCCAGCCTGAGCGACAGTGTGAAACTCACATACACACACACACACACATACACACGTGTATATTAAATGAATTAAATGTTTGAAAGCGTAGTTAGTAATCTTCATAAACTTGTTCTCATCTTAACCAAATAATTCCTCTTTTTTTATTTGATAGAAACAGGTACTTTATAAAATTCTCATCTGTTTTATTACCATGTATGTTCCTGAAGTTCTGTATAAGTATTACTGAAATTGGAAAAGGATACAGACTTAAATATTGTGTAGGGCCAAAACGTATGGAAGAAATTACTATAAAATATGGATCATAGGCTGGGTGCGGTGGCTCACGCCTGTAATCCCAGAACTTTGGGAGGCCAAGGTGGGTGGATCACCTGAGGTCAGGAGTTCGAGACCAGCCTGGCCAACATGGTGAAACCCCATCTCTACTAAAAATACAAAAATTAACCAGGCGTTGTGGCACATGCCTATAATCCCAGCTACTCCAGAGGCTGAGGCAGGAGAATTGCTTAAACACAGGAGACAGATGTTGCAGTAAGCTGAGATCATGCCACTGCACTCCAGCCAGGGCAACAGAGCAAGACTATCTCAAAAAAAAAAAAAAAAAAATTGGGGCTGGAGATCCTTGTGGTGTTACTGAAAAACTTGCCCCTCACATAGCACACTACTACACATGTGAATTCATCCACCAGTCTTTGGAAGTTAACATGTTTGTAGAACCTAATATAGTCTCTGTGCTGCTGCTTTTTTGTTTTGTTTTGTTTTTGTTTTTGTTTTTGAGACAGGGGTTTCACCCAGGCTGGGATACAATGGCACGATCTCGGCTCACTGCAACCTCGCCTCTCGGGTTCAAGTGATTCTCCTGCCTCAGCCTCCTGTGTAGCTGGGATTACAGGCATCCACCACCACGCCTGGCTAATTTTTGTATTTTTAGTAGAGATGGGGTTTCACCATGTTGGCCAGGCTGGTCTTGAACTCCTGACCTCAGGTGATCCACCTGCCTCAGCCTCCCAGGTAGCCGGGATTACAGGCATGCTCACCACCACGCCTGGCTAATTTTTGTATTTTTAGTAGAGATGGGGTTTCACCATGTTGGCCAGGCTGGTCTTGAACTCCTGACCTCAGGTGATCCACCTGCCTCAGCCTCCCAAAGTTCTGGGATTACAGACGTGAGCCACCATGCTTTGCCCCCTGTGTTTCTGTAACTACTTAAAAAAACAAAACCTGAGGAAGTTTATTAATCAGTAGACATGTATATGGCTGGAGAGGTATGTGATAAAGCAAATATAAAAAAATGCTTATTATAGGATCTAGATGATGAACATATGGATGTCACTGTAGAATTCTTCCAATCTTCCCATCGCTTGAAAATTTCCATAATGAAATATTAGAGAAAAAGGTACCCAAAGCCCTGAAGTACATGTGAAAGTCACAATTAGTAATGTGATAAAAGTCTTCAAAGTCTGCGTGTTGCATTAAGGCTAGGTTGTGTTTTGTTTTTTTTCTTGCAGGTTAAGTTCAGTGAACTAACTGTTGACATGTTCCGGATGTTACAAGCTCTGGAAAGGGAACCAATGAATTTAGCTTCCCAGATGAATAAACCAGGAATGCAGGTAATTTCTTCTTTACATTTGCAAGTTTGGTAACCCTCTGGCTGCTTCTCTCCTGATAGAATGCTGATTATTCAACAGATACTACAAACTTATTGAATAAAGAATTAACTTGATGAGACATGGAGAAATAGATAAGCATAATCATAGTAAGACTGAGTGAAAATAAGACTTACTTGATAAGGGGTAGTGAAAATAGGCGTTGATAATTCATTTGTCAAATGCAGCTTATATGTATAATGTTTTCTGTGTGTACATATAGGAATCAGCTGACAAGCCTACTAGACGAGAAAATCCCCACAAGTATCTTCTCTATAAACCAACCTTCAGCCAACTATATACTTTCTTAGCAGCATCTTTTAAGGTATGTGTGATCCAGTACTTTTTACTATAAGGTGAAAGTGTGCCCTAAATAGAATCTAAGAGTCACTCTTTTGAAAAAATATTTAAGAGTTTAGGTAAAATATAAAAATGAAAAACTGCCTTTAGAATAATGATCCTGATAATAGATATTTTTGTTTTGTTTTGTTCCTTTCTTTCTTTTATTTTTTTTTTTAACTTCTGGTAAGCTGTGAAATAGCTGTTTTGGAATGAAAATTGCTTATGATGTTGTGATTATTCCCATCATTAATTAATGATAATAGTAGTTCTCCTTCCTCCAGTTTTTTATTACTCAACGATTTTAGGTGTAACAGTGCAGAACTGGCCAGGCGTGGTGGCTCATGCCTGTAATCCCAGCACTTTGGGAGGCCAAGCCGGGTGGATCACCTGAGGTCAGGAGTTCAAGAACAGCCTGACCAACATGGAGAAACCCCGTCTCTACTAAAAAAATACAAAATTAGCTGGGCGTGGTGGCACATGCCTGTAATTCCAGCTACTTGGGGGGCTGAGGCAGGAGAATCGCTTGAACCCCGGAGGCGGAGGCTGTGGTGAGCCAAGATTATGCCATCGCACTCCAGCCTGGGCAACAAGAGCAAAATTCTGTCTCAAAAAAAAAAAAAATGCAGAACTGAAAAATAAAAGCAGAGTGCCTAGGCTTCTTATATACTCAAAGAGCTCTACGAAACATTTAGATCATCTGAAAGAATTATGAGAAATAGGAGAATTCTTCCCAAAGTCTACATAGAGAAAGCCACAGAAGGGACTTTGGCTTTTAGCCATATAGTCAGGATCTTTACTTCTCCTTTCAAGTTTTCAGAGAATATTCTCTAAATCATGGGGTTTTTGAAGCAGAGAATGTCTTCACAACTTTTGACAATAGTTATAGATTAATAATGAGTCTCTGGTTTGTATATAAAGTCAGAACCAAGAAGAGCATTTCTTCACTTGGAAAAGACAACAGTGCATTCTTATTTATTCCAGAACTTTAAAATGTCATGAAATTTAAATAAAACCATGTTGTTTATCCCTGTTTGTTGTTTTGTGTATGTGATTTTCTTTAATTTCAGGAGCTGCCTGCCAATAGTGTGCTTCTGATTTACCTGTCGGCCACTGGCGTTTTCCCCACAGGTCGTTCTGATAGTGAAGGTACAATAAAGGAATGCTCCCTGTTGTGAGCAGGGCTTGAATTCTCTTTATTTTCTACAAGACGATGGCCCATAGCCCACAGACCATCTCAGGCTTTCCAGACAGACTTCCAAATTTGAAACCTGGTCTATTTGTTGATTGGCAATTTTGTAGATACCCCAGTCTGTCGTATTTTCTGAAATGTTATATGTCAAAGCCCATAAATCATCAGAAAATTCATATATTAAATGCATGCTTCACTATCAAATTTATCAAAAGCATAATATGTAAATCCATTTAGATATACATAAGGAGTTTGATGTTTCAAAGTTGAAAAGGATGATGGAATAACCAAGCCTAATGATGTATTTCACATCTTTGAATTTTTCTGAGCTTTCAGTGTATTGGGGAATCCGGTCAATGGCTACATGATGGCTGAAAGTCTTTGTAGAAATCAGTGTACTTTTGTAACTGTGAAAGTTCAAGCCCTTGTCATGATTTTGTTTTCTGTCCTTGATTTTGTTTTATGAATTCAATCTGTAGAATATCGGGATGCTGTTTCAGAATAAAAACTTAAAACTGTCCAGAACATATGAGTCCAGAAATTGGTCAGAATAGATAAGTAACTTGGATGTAAATAAGATAATTAAATCTTTGCCTAGGCAAAAAAAAAAAAAAAAAAAAAAAATCTTAACATCCTTAACATTTTCCTCTTCATTTGTTTGTTGAAATTTGCATTCCTTTATAAAATGCATGTCCTTGCCATCTTCCTTGCATGACCTACAGATTCTCTTAAAATGTTAAAATGAAAACAAAACAAACCTCTTTAGTCTTTTCATTGCAGTGATTTTTTTAAGAAATGAAATATAATACAACATTAAAAGTAACGTAAAAAACTAGTTTTTTGTGATAGTACTTTTATTTATAATTATCTTTATGTCATATACTGTTAAATCAATTTTCTGGGTCTCTGCTTAACATATTGACTTTTTTGCTTTTTTCAAAGTATGATAGGTTATCGTACTTTGATAGGTCCTTTGAGAGAGATTATCTGAACATCCCACAGTTGCTGTTCCATTTAGACAGGAGTTTAGCTAATTCGTATGAATTTAGTGGGAAAAGGCTAACCTCAGAACCATAACTAAAGTGCTTGATATGATAGTGATAATAATGGATTTTTTGCATGCTGAAATCTGGCAATACATTCTTACAGGTGAAGTTTTTGTGAATGAGAATTTTCAAATTCTATTCAAATATTTTCCTAAATTTTACAGTTAGTGGCTCATTTAAAATTGTATTTACTTATGAGATTAAGATTTCATTCTTTAAAAAAAGAGATTATTTTATTCTGCAACTTCCTTTTTTTTTTCTGAGACAGGGTTTCACTCTGTCATCCAGGCTGGAGTGCAGTGGTGTGATCATAGCTCACTGCAGCCTCAAACTCCCTGGCTCAAGTGATCCTTCTGCCTCAGCCTCCTGAGTAGCTGGGAATACGGGCACCTACCACTATGCTCAGCTAATTTGAAAAATTTTTTCGTAGAGACAGGGTCTCACTATATTGCCCAGGCTGGTCTGGAACTCCTGGCCTCATGCAATCCTCCTGCCTCAGCCTCCCAGAGTGCTGGGATTACAGGCATGAGCAACCATGTCCAACCAACTTCCTTTTAAAATAATAGTGTTAAACCTGAGATTTTAAGTTTGCTTGAAATGTAAAGGTCATTTTGAACATCCCAGATCTCCGTTCCTTTTATTACTTAGAATAATGATGCCATAGATTCTTGTTTTGTTTCTCATTATATTGTTTGAAGAACTGCTGAATAATCAAATGTTTTTGAAAATGTTGAAACTGACAACATACTGAAGTCATTTAAATACTTCATTAAATTAAAATGTTAAATTTTAAAATAATTTAAATGTTGTGTAATTGTCTTCCCTTGAATCAATGAGAGATTCACACGGTACCTTTGTATTTGAACATCAGGTCAGTGTTAGTCTTCAACTGAAGTCTAGGATTCTTCCCTTTGTTTTTATAGGTCCTTATGATTTTGGAGGTGTACTTACTAATAGTAACCGGGATATTATTAATGGAGATGCTATCCACAAACGAAATCAGTCCCACAAGGAAATGCACTGGTATGTATTCTGGTGTCTCCTCTTATTATAAAAATCATACCTCTGTCTGCAAGTATAAAAAATATTAAGTAAAACAGGGAGTTTTTTCTAGTACTAGAATGATTTCCTTAGACTAATATTTTGGGACAGACCGGAAACACTTATTTGGATTCCAGCAATAATTCAGGCTCTGTCTATCCTAGGAAATTAGAACTTTTGGTTGATATTCATTGAATAAATATTTTATTGAGTATCTGTTGTATGTTACACACTGTTTAGTCACTAGGGATATGTCAGCGAACAAAATTGCATTCTAGTTGGAGACAGTATATATATACATAAATAAATATGTCAGGACATGATACGTGTAAAATCAATACGAACTTTTTTTTTTTTTTTTTTTTGAGGACAGAGTCTCACTCTGTCGCCCAGGCTGGAGTGCAGTGGCACGATCTCGGCTCACTGCCAGCTCTGCCTCCAGGGTTCACGCCATTCTCCTGCCTCAGCCTCCTCAGTAACTGGGACTATAGGCGCCCGCCACCACGCCCAGCTAATTTCTTGTATTTTTAGTAGAGATGGGGTTTCACTGTGTTAGCCAGGATGGTCTCGATCTCCTGACCTCGTGATCCGCCCACTTCGGCCTCCCAAAGTGCTGGGATTACAGGCTGAGCCACCGCGCCCGGCCCAATACGAACTTTTAAACAAATTTTTTTCTTTAGAGATAGTCTTGCTCTGTCACGCAGGTCAGTTTTGATTTCCTAGCCTTAAGTGATCCTCCCACTTAAGCCTCCCAAAGTACTAGGATTACAAGTGTGAGCCACTGTGTTTGGCCCAAACTTTTTTTTTTTTTTTTCTTTTTTTGAGATGGAATCTTGTTCTGTCACCCAGGCTGGAGTGCAGTGGCAGGATCTTGGCTCACTGCAACCTCTGCCACCCGGGGTCAAGCGATTCTCCTGCCTCAGCCTCCTGAGTAGCTGGGATTACAGGTGTCGGCCACCACACTCAGCTAATTTTTATATTTTTCACCATGTTAATCAGACTGGTCTTGAACTCCTGACCTTGTGATCCACCTGCCTCGGCCTCCCAAAGTGCTGGGATTATAGGCGTGAACCACCACACCCTGCCACATTTTTTTAAATTTTATTTTTTTAATTGAAAAATAATCATTGTAAATATTCCTAGGGTACATAATCATGTTTCTATAGTTACAATGTATCATGATCAGATCAGAGTAATTAGCATACTCATCATCTCAAACATCCATTCTTTGTGTTGGAAACATTTAATATCTTTGTTCTAGCTATTTAAAACTATAATATAGGCTGGTAGCGGTGGCTCACGCCTGTAATCCCAACACTTTGGGAGGCCGAGATGGGTGGATCACTTGAGGTCAGGGGTTTGAGACCAGCTGGGCCAACATGAAATCCTGTCTATACTAAAATTACGAAAATCAGCCAGGTGTGGTGGCTTGCGCCTGTGGTCCTACCTACTCAGGAGGCCGAGGCAGGAGAATCACTTGAATGCATTAGATCGAGGCTGCAGTGAGCTGACATTGTGCTCCAGTCTGAGTGACAGAGTGAGACTCCATGCCAAAAAAACAAAAGAAAATAAAAACTATATAACATTATTAGCTATAGTCATGCTACAGTGGTGTAGAACTCTAGAACATAATCCTTCTATCTAGCTGTAATTTTTTATTCTTTAACAAATCTCTTCCCTGTCCCTCCCTTCCTCTACCCTTCCCAACCTCTAGTACTGAATTTTTTTTTTTTTTTTTTTTTTGAGATGGAGTCTTGCTCTGTCGCCCAGGCTAGAGTGCAGTGGCACGATCTTGGCTCACTGGAACCTCCATCTCCCAGAGTCAAGCCATTCTCCTGCCTCAGCCTCACAAGTAGCTGAGATTACAGGTGGCCACCACCACACCTGGCTAATTTTTTAATTTTTCATAGAGATGAGATTTCACCATGTTGGCCCATCTGGTGTCGAACTCCTGACCTTATTCTCAGCCTCCCAAAGTGCTGGGATTACAGGCCGGAGCCACCATGCTGGGCCTGAATTTTTTTTTTTCTTCTTTGAGACGGAGTCTTGCTCTGTTGACCAGGCTGGAGTGCAGTGGCTCCATCTTGGCTCACTGCAAGCTCCACCTCCCGTGTTCTCTCCATTCTCCTGCCTCAGCCTCCAGAGTAGCTGGGACTACAGGTGCCTGCCAGCACGCCCGGCTAATTTTTTTGTAATTTTAGTATAGACGGGATTTCACCGTGTTAGTCAGGATGGTCTCAGTCTCCTGACCTCATGATCCGCCTGCCTCAGCCTCCTGAAGTGCTGGTCTTATAGGTGTCAGCCACAGTGCCCGGCCCAGGCCTGAATTTTTTAATGTAAGATTTTGTTGGTTTAATATAGCACAAATGAATGTTGTTACGTGATTACAAATAGAACTTCAGGCCAGGAGCAGTGGCTCACGCCTGTGATCCCAACATCTTAGGAGGCTGAGGTAGAAGAATCACTTGAACCCAGGAGTTTGAGACCATGCAACATAGTGAGACTCTGTCTCTACAAAAACTTAAAAAATTATTTTTTAAAAAATGCAAAAAGTACAAAAACAAATAGAATTTCATCTACAAAAGTTCTTTCTTTTTCCTTTTTTTTTTTTTTTTTTTTTGAGACAGAGTTTCACTCTGCCACCCAGGCTGGAGTACAGTGGCACTGTCCTGGCTCACTGCAACCTCTACCTTCCAAGTTCAAGTGATTCTCCTGCCTCAGCCTCCCGAGTAGCTGGGATAACAGGCACTTGCCACCATGCTTGGCTAGTTTTTGTATTTTTGGTAGAGATGGGGTTTCACCATGTTGGCCAGGCTGGTCTTGAACTCCTGAACTCAAGTGATACGCCTGCTTCGGCCTCCCAAAGTGCTGGCAATATAGGCATGAGCCACTGTGCCTGGAGTTCGTTCTTTTTCTAAGCATAACAACTTTGTTGCTTGGGCCATTATTTGCTCTAGAATTTCTCTAGCTGAGAACAATCTGCTTATAAAGAAAACAGGACTGGTCTAAAACTTCGTTTCTAATACATATTGAATATCCCTTATCTGAAATGTGTGGGACCGGAAGTGTTTCGGGTTTTGGATTTTTCCAGATTTTGGAATATTTGCATATAGATAGTAAGGTGCCTTAGGGATGGGACCCATAAAATTCATTTGTTTCATATACACCTCTTGCACATTGCCTGAAAGTAATTTTATTTTTCCCTTTGAGATCCTGGATAAACTGTGTGTTGTGCACCTGCATGACTATGATCCATCATGTGAGGTCAGGTGTGGAATTTTCTACTTGTGGCATCATGTTGGTTCTCAAAACCTTTTGGATTTTGTAGCATTCTTCATTTTGGATTTTCAGATTAGAAACACTGAACCTGTACTACATGATCACTTACATGTGGGAGCTAAAAGAGCTGCACTCAGAAGCAGAGTGCAACGGTAGTTGTGAGGAGGTAAGGGTTGGAGAAAATAGGGAGATGTTGGTTAAAGTGTGCAACATCTTGAGTTGTAAGATTAAACAACATTTAAAGTACAGCATGGTGATGATAATTAAAAATACTATATTGGCTGCGTGCGGTGGCTCAGGCCTGTAATCCCAGCACTTTGGGAGGCCGTGGTGGGCAGATCACCTGAGGTCAGGAGTTTGAGACCAGCCTGGCAAAATGGTGAAATCCTGTGTCTACTAAAAATACAAAAAATTAGCTGGGTGTGGTGGGACGTACCTGTAATCCCACCTACTTGGGAGGCTGAGGCAGGAGAATTGCCTAAACCTGGGAGGCGGAGGTTGTGGTGAGCCGAGATTATGCCACTGCACTCCAGTCTGTGCGACAGAGCAAGACTCCATCTCAAAATAAATAAATCAATAAATAATAAATTAAAATACTGTATTGTTGGACCGAGTGTGGTGGCTCATTCCTGTAATCCCAGCACTTTGGGAGGCTGAGATGGGAAGATTGCTTGAGTTCAGGTATTCAAGACCAGCCTTGGCAACATAACAGGATCTTGTCTCTACTAAAAATTTAAAAAACGAGTCAGGCGTTGAGGTGCATGCCCATGGTCCCAGCTACTTGGGAGACTGAGGCAGGCGTAACAGTGGAGCCTGGGAGATCGAGGCTGCAGTGAGCTATGATCTTGCCACTGCACTCTAGCCTTAGTGACAAAGTGAGACCTCATCTCAAACAACAACAACAACAATAACAAAAATTGTTGTTTACTGGAAATTTTCTGAAAGGGCAAAGCTTATGTGTTCTCTCTGCCCACTCCCCTGCCTCCTGCCGCCCACACACACAAAAACGGTAACTGTGGGAATGGAAGTGTTGATTAATTTGATCATGGTAATCACTATACATGTATATGTTAACAAGTCATCACATTGTATACCTTCAATATATACAATTTTTGTCAATAAAAGAAAAACTTTTATTTGAACTATAGTGACGTTTGATGATATTGCTCAGTGAAACATTTATAAATTTACACTTACTTTAGTATCTATCCACATACGCACATGGTGTACTCAGTCCTTGGAAAGAGAACACGCACACCAAAATTCTGACCTTGCTCATTGGCTCTCACATGCATGTTACTGGACTTCAGCCTTTGGGTTCAATAGCTCTTCTGTGGGCCAGTGAAACTGCATGTTTAACAAGCCCCCGCATGTTTAACAAGCCCTTGATGCAAATGTTCAGAGGAAACATATGGTAAAAAGTAGCTGGGCGCAGTGACTCATGTCCATAATCCTAGCACTTTGGGAAACTGACGTGGGCAGATTGCTTGAGCTCAGGAGTTTGAGACCAACCTGGGCAACATGGAGAAACCCCATCTCTACTAAAAATAGAAAAATTTGCTGGGTGTGTTGGTGCATGCCTGCAGTCCCAGCTACTCAGGAGGCTGAGGTGGGAGGATCACCTGAGCCTGGGACATGGAGGTTGCAGTGAGCTGAGATTGCACCATACCACTGTACTGCTGCCTGGGCCACAGAGCAAGACGGTGTCTTAAAAAAAAAAAA